GAACAGAAGGTGGGCTGGTGACAGACATGGGATCCCATTTCAGAGGAAGGAAGGAGGGTTTGGGGTGGGTGGGATTTGGCTAGGCAGTGGAAGGAGGGACCTCAAGCTGTCTGTGGGGCTTCTGTAGCCTGCTGGGAAACAGCAAAGCCTGGAAGAGAAAGGGGCAGATGCGAACAGGAAGCCTGATGACCATGGGCCGGGCCTGGGCAGTGGACAGGGGTCTGGTCAGCCATATCAGAAGGGGGCAGAAAGCTACTATTGAAGTTACGCAGGTCACGCACTGCCATAGGGCTTGTAGTTCAGTTTATAACCTGCACAACGCTGCTTACACAATTGCCCTGCTAAGGCCAGTGCTGTTCCACCTAGCGGTGACCAAAGGGCCATCAAAATGGGGACAGAACAGATATAATAGAGGCTGCCAACAAGTTATAAGTTCAGGGCTAACCCAGCAGGCCAGGTGGGGTGCCAGGACAACATCAGAGAGAATGGATGGGGCAGGAATGGTGCTAGAGCACAGTAATGGAGAGAACAGACTCAGACCTACTCTTTGTTGTTGTGTGACTTTGTACAAATCACTCTGCTCTCTGAGCCTGCTTCTTCAACTAAGAGATGGGGATGATGAAACCCACCAATGAGGCATGGGGATTAAAGGAGCTAATGGACAAGCCAAGGCTCCAACATGCATGGTTCACTACATCATTTCTGATGTCACTGGGAGCTTCTTAAAGGCATGGCTCACATGACCTGCACTCCAGCAGGGACATACCCTAAATGCAGGGGCTTCTAGCTGAGGAGTAGAGCCCCGATCCACCCCCACCCTGTAGGAGACCCTGGCCCACCCTCAGACTCATCTAGGGAATTGGTCCAACTGTGGGCTTTTTACTGGCAGAGGCCTTTGTCCCAGTGGCCTGCGTGACCCCAGGACTCTCTTCCTCCCTGGCCCAGGGATGGCGGCCAGCCCTGTCCTCCTCCAGCCTCCAAAAGTCAACTGTCAGGGCCTGGGTCAGCACCACGGCCACAGCTCCACGATCCTACCCCCCATGTTCGTTTTGGCCTGCTGCTACCACTGCTGCAGGGTTGGAGAGCCTTGGGGACAGGGGAAGGGGGTAGCTGAGAAAGGAAGCTGAGGTACAGTGGGAGGGGTACAGTCCTGGCCCTGACCCTCAGCCCAGCCCCAAGGA